ATTGAAGTCTCTCAAGAAGAATCGATATCTAATTAAAACCTAAGAGTAAGAAAGCATCAACCCGTTGCATATTTGGGACAAGTTGTTGCATCACATCCGATTTCAGACGCCTCAAGATGAATGGTCCCATAATATACTTCATACGACCAACCAACTCCCTGTCTTCTACATTTAGTAGCTTCTTCAAGTCCACATCCTCAGTGGCAAAGAGATCAGGAATCATGAACTCTAGCAATGACCACAGCTCCTGCAACAAAAAGCTATCACTCAGTAACAACTAAATAACATGTACAAGACTCAAAGTATATTTAAAAAATAGTATTATATTCTTTTAAAAGAAAAATCTTATTAGAAGGCTTCATGATAACAGGGATGTATTTCTTATAAAAATTGAGATTCTAGATCTGTAATCCAAAAACTCCAATCAACAAATCCCAATTTCTTGGTGATTAGTGCAATGATACATGAAATAAAGAAACGAGTAGAGGATTTTCATGCATATTCTTTCAGGTTTATACAACGAGAAGGGAACAAGATAACCCGCCTTTTAGCAACTGATTGGATTTTAGCGTCGATAGATCACTTCTGGGTCGAAGAAACCCTACGCAAGTGGAATCTCGAGCCGCCGAAAACCGACGTTGGATTGATCCATCGTAGAGAAACTTTCAAACATGGTCTTCCTAGTATATCAGATCTATCTTCTTTTCTATTTTTTCTTTGCTGAAGAGCTCTCATCGTCTATTTTCAGAGGAAGCAAGGGAATGAAAAGCCAGCTCCCACAATTTCCATTTTTGAGGCAGTATTTATTTTTTCAGCAGAACCCATTTATTATTTTTCTTTTGTTCGAAACGGCTGTGGTGAACAGCTGGCTTTTCCTTTTTGTTCAAAAAAAATGTAGTATTTTTTTTAATATTTATATATATGGCTTATATTATATTAGATGAACAAATTTAAATCAACAAACACTCGTTTCAAATTGCCTTGATCCATTCCATTATTCTGCAAATCTCAAAGTAATTAATAAAATACTATTGTGTTCTCAATTTAAAGAATGAGTCTATAGCGGCATTTGTATAAAAACGCCACTAAAGCACGAGTCTATAGCGGTGTTTGTATAAAAACGCCACTAAAGTATGAGTCTATAGTGGTATTTGTATAAAAACGCCACTAAAGCACGAGTCTATAGCGGCGTTTGTATAAAAACGCCACTAAAGTACGAGTCTATAGCGGCGTTTGTATAAAAACGCCACTAAAGTACGAGTCTTTAGCGGCGTTTGTATAAAAATGCCACTAAAATACTAGTCTATAGCGGCGTCTGTATTAAAACGCCACTAAAGTACGAGTCTTTAGCTACTTTTGTATTAAAACGCCACTAAAGTACGAGTATATAGCGACATTTGTATAAAAACGCCACTAAAGTATAGTCTTTAGCGGCGTTTGTATAAAAACGCCACTAAAGTACGAGTATTTAGCGGCGTTTGTTCTAAAAATGCCGCTAAAAATGCCGCTATAAACCCATTTTGTTGTAGTGATATATAACTCTTATGGAGCTTTCAATAAAATTTTTACTACAAATATTAATAACAATTTACTATGAGAAACATGACAAATAAAAATAAATCATAATAAGTGTACATCGAAATTGTTAACAATGTCATCATCATGACTGTTTTCGCATAGACTATCATAAGCATTAAAACAGCCTTCTTTTCATGGTAAAATAAAAATCACAAATAAAAATATCAAATCTCATAAGTAATTATTATAAGAAAATAACATTAAATAGTCAACTTTTGTGTTTTTAACATTCATTATCAATCTCCAAAACTGTCATAAAAGATAGCAATAATATCCAACCATTATCATTCAAATATTCTAAATGAATAAAATTACATTTATTCATGGAGACCTAACATTATTTATAATATTAATTCTTTGATTCATGCCCCTCTCATTATTTAAATAGCTCTCACAAAAAAGTCACAAACAACATAATACTTTATAAATAAATATAAAATTAAAACAAATGCCCTTGCATAATCTAGTGCACAAATAAATTGTCAAGATTCAAGTTTTTGCCCAAATTCAACAATTCGGATAAAAATTGATCAAATTAATAATCGCTATCATCATTTGACATATATGTCAATGATTCTTTTAGTTACTATGAGCTTAGCAAACCTAACAACAAGAATTATTTGAAACAAAAGTATGCACTGCTAAATGGAAACTATCATGTGGTTGCTAAAGTGATGCGGTCGTTAATGACAATGGAATCCATGAAATATAACACATAGGGTAGAGAAAAAGGTAATCTTCGATCGATCTAATATACATGAAAATATATATCTACTGAAAATTTAGTGGTCACAATTCATATGCCCATCAATCCTCAAAATCAAATGTTAACATTTATAAGCATATATTAACAAGAACAAATTATCATTAGGAAATCAAGCGGAGACTAAGGTTAATCCATATTAGTTTAATAAGTGAAATAATTTTTTTATGATTATAATAATGAAAATAACTACTCAAGATAATAACAGTAGTCACACAAGTTTAACCCAATAATACAACCAATTAATTCGACCTGTCCAATATATTCATTGAACTAGAACATAAGTGTTGCTCTATAAATATATATATATATATATAAAGGAACACTAAGTCACAGTAGTCCTCTTCACATACATGCATTTATTGTGAAACAAAATCATTACAGAAAAACAATGTGAACGAATTCATAATAATAATTTAAAGAATGATAAAAAATGTAGAATACACTTATATGATATTGTGGTGTATTCTTCTAAGATCTTGAACGGAGAATTGTGGGCTGTAAATATGATATTTGATATTACAATATTGTTTCTGAGCAAGTCGTGTTGATAATGTGTTATGAAATAATCTAAACGAAACAATAAGATAGAACAATAAGAACAAAAGATATAAGAACAAGGGGGAGAGAATTGTATTATTATCTCAATCTGAGTTGTGTAAAATGCTTTCTCTTAACACCATACTTATAAGCCTAAGGAGTAGATATCATATAGAATTCTAACTCTAATTGATATTAAAATCCTAATAACAAAGTATATCAAAACCCTATTTTATAGATAGAGAGAGAAAAATAGAGATAGATATCCGCATAAATAAATAATCATAACATAAAATATATTTATTTAAGATTTGTACATATGTTACATAAAAATATTTTATTAATTTATCTATTATTATTTGTTAAATAAATTTTGATAAATAAACTTTTTATATAAATGTTGAGTACCAAAAATTCAATGTTTTCACCTTTATTTTATATTCCAAATACATTCAAATTATATATTAACAATTTTTTATGAGACCTATCTTCAATGTTGAAAAATAATTTTCTTATAAATTCGTATTTGATTTTTGGGGAAAATGTAAATTATTGTTATATTTTTTCTGCACTATGTGATAAATAGATCATTATTTATTTATTTATCATTTTAAAATTATTTTTCAAAAAAATCAAATAAATGAATTTCCAAATACCTCCTCAAAAACATTTTTAAAAATTATTGGAAAATTTTCATTACCTGGTGTGAAATTACTTTTAAGAGCATTAGAAAATTTACCTTATTTCTAGAAGTTTGACAGCTTAAGTTTACTTTTCATGTAAAGATTTAATTTCTTTTTTGTTTAAATGAGCTGTCCCAATTGATAACTTAATTCCACAAGTTTTGTTATAAAATTGAAAGAAGTTTGGATTTCTTATTTTTTTTTCAAGCTTCCGTAATATTTTCCAATTTTTTAGGTAAATTGGCAATTTATTATTATTAAAGAGATTATCATTATTATTATTATTATTATTATTATTATTATTATATTTAAAATAGTATGAGGTGATTATAAGATAGTAGTTGTTCATAATATTTCTTAACCATTGATAGCACATACATTTAGTACAAGCAACTGTCCGAATCCAAGGCCTCTAAGAATAACTACACTCACCTTTGACCATTGAAGTTGCTTGATGAGTTCTTATTATTATTTAAAATGATACGAGTATAATCACAATGATTAACGTTATAAGGAATATACATCTAAACTATAATGAGTCTAAAATACAACAAGTTAATTTAAGGTTAAAAAGAGGGTAAAAGTCGATTATAATTGAAAATTTTGTCAAGAACATAACTTTTTATAGTAGATTGGATAATATTTTAAGTTGAAATTGAAATTTTAATGTTTTTCATAACAATTCATGTATGATATGTAACTATTCTGGTTGCTACCTAAAAAGTTAATATAAAAATATTTTAGATTATAATTGGAATTATTATCAGTGTAACTTTTTAGAATATACAAATAATTTTTTAGATTAAAACATATCATAATATAATAATTTTTATTATGACCGAAATTAATATCAATTATTTAATTTTTAAAATCAAACAAAATAATATCTGTAGTTAAAATTCCTCGTAAATCATCTTTAAATTAGATTATTATAGTTGTAAAAAGTTTTCCAGATTGGTAAAAAGCCTGCACAATTGACCATATCTGGAGTGTTCCTCTGTCTATACAACAATGTTAAGGTGCACCCCAAGTCAATTTCGTGTGCACATCAGACACGTGATTTGCATCGATCCGGCAGCGGTCAAAGTGGAGTTAACACGTGCACATCTCAAATTCACATCAAGTATTAATACGCAGATTCATCATTTTTATCAAAGAAAACAGACATCACACCGATGCTACAAATGAACATTCTTCCCCATATCATTTCTTCCAAACTAGCACTGTTATAAAAAGAAAAAGAAAAAAAACACGCAAATCCTGCAAGAAAATCCATGCACGATCCGACCGACAGATCAATTTTCAACCCGCCGTACGTACCGCTGACTAAATGAAACTGCTCTAGAAACACTAGGCCTATAAAACAATCAAAGAAAGGATCTTTTCTCAGCAACTCCGTATCTGTTCAGATCATTACACAGGAAAAGGAACAAAAAATGGTGAGGCAATTGTCGAGAATGAGAGCTTCTTACAAACGAATCAGAGAGCAAGCAAGGCTTAATATTCGTAAAGGGTATGTCCCGGTTATGGTTGGGAGGGATGATGAGAAGGATGGTGCTAAGTTCTTGATCCACCTCGATGTGTTCAGAAATGAGTACTTCGTTGGGTTTCTTGAGATGGTTGCTCTGGAGGTTGGCTATCAGAGCTCCGGCGTCCTTAGAATCCCATGCCGGACGGAATGTTTCATGGATATACTGAACCAGATCTCAAGGATGAACACCTAGTTTCTTTTGTTTATGTTCTTGGATTATCTTTACTAAACTTCTTCTTGTTGCTATTATTCTTATTTTACGCTGAGTTTGTAGTTCAGGCATTAATAAAACGAAGATTTGAGTCTCTCTCGTTCAACTTTTTGTTTGATCCTCCTTAGAAAAACCTAGACAGAGCATTTTCCATTTAGTTGATTGGGCATTGTCATACATGACAAGTTATATTATATTTGAATTATTTTAGGGTAAAGTACACAAATGGTACTCTGACTATAGAATACGACTTTATTAAGTCCCTCGACTAATAAAAGTTACAAAATAATCCTTTGACAGTAGAGTGTTGCTTTGTTGAGTCCTTCAACTATTAAAAGTTACTAAACGGTCACCCGACTACTCATATGTTCCAAACTCGTCTTTTTTCTTTAAAAAAGTTGACGACATTCTGAGTTGAATATTAACCTGTTGACTGTGATGTGATAAAATATGATCTCAGTATCTCAAACGACTATCATATCCTAGTCATCATGTAAACATTCAACTTAGACGCCTAGTATTTTTTAACGAAAAAGGACAAATTTGGAATGCAATGAATAATCGGGTGACTATTTTGTAACTTTTAATAGTTGAGGGATTTAATAACAGCCCCAATTCCAGGTTAGCAGTTTCGGGTTTACCCGAGAGGCAAGTGGATCCTGCAGAAATTATAATTTAATTCGTTGGGCTTAATTAGGTTGGTTTTGGGCCCAATTAGCCATTAAAAGTAGATCTTTACATAGTAGGAAAATGAAGAGGAACCAATAGTGTAATTATCCCATTTTCAAAAAGATGAATGCTTTTATTTCTTTATCTTCTCATTCTCTTCATTTCTCCTCTTACACTTTTCCCCCTTCTTCCTCTTTAAGCCATAACAAAGAAAAATAAGGGTTTTATCATACAAGTCATGGTTGAGGATAATTTCTATCTAAAAGAGCTCTATTTCAGGATTCAATCAGCAAGGTAGTGTATTTCTAATCCTTTGGAGTATTAAGTTTCCATAAATTTCAAGAAATTAGTAAGATTTGAGTAGTTGAGCATTTTAGGGTTCAAACTTGATTAATGCCTTAAATCACGTTTTAGTTGTTAAGGAAGTGGTTTTATGACACCTAAGTACCTTAAATAACTTACTAGAACTTCATAATCAATTTAGAAGCCAACCCAAGTCATTTAGGGTAATTTTGGGTGATTGTTCGAGCCTAAAATATTAGTTTTATGGTTCAAGTATCGATATTGGTTAAATTGGGGCTAAAATTAGGGTTTTCAGAGGGAAGTATTAATACTGCCACGGTGAGTATCGATATTGTCCCTGAAGTATCGATACTCAGGGTAGAAGTATAAATATCGAGGCCCTAATTTTGCAGCAGAATGCATTTTTGGTACCGATACTCATAGGGTTATCGATACTTGACCCTAAGGCATCGATACTACCCACCTCAGATGATCAGATTTGACCCAGTTAAGGTCCGTATATAATACCCTAATCTAATCCGACTCAAAGATTTGTGGATTATGATGTCACACTAAATCACTGAAATGGTTAACCCTAATTTTTTTTAAAAAAAATTAGTAATTATCAAAACCAATCACTCATCATTGTAACAAAATTTAAATCAGAGTTTACAAAGTATGGGAGTCCCCCAAAATACATACAATACAACCATAAGATTTAAATCAAAATAGAACCAGAGTTATGACTTGAATAACACAAGGTCCATATAGAATACATGTCCACTAAAATAGACTCAAGACATACTCTGATAATCGTCCGGTCTTGAATGTACTGATGCGATAGGCTCCTCAACGATCCCTTACTAACCTGCGTATACAAACACATTCCATAAGCTGAGCTCACAAGCTCAGTGCCACAAGAATAACTATGCAATACTACATGCATTCATTATATGAACATGCAAAAGTACATATCAAACATGAGGTAGGCCAAGTAGTGTGGTCAGAGGAATTTACGTGCATCTTGGACAACACACTAGCCTACCTAGAACGTGATAGCTTCGGGGTAAAAACCAAAATTTACGTGCGTAGAAACTTATGGCTCACATCTCGTACCTAGTCGAGCATAGGGCACGATTTTAAAATTTATGTGCATTGGAATTCGTACGGGTACAACCCAAAATTTACGTGCATCAGATGCGTACCAAACAGAAAATATACGGATATTCACAAACAAAGGATGATAGTCATAAAGCTAGAATAACTCGGGTGTCCGAACCATTTCCTTAGTGTCACACAAGCCAAATCTTATGACATCCTAACTTGTTTGTATTCTAGGTGAGAAATTAGTGATCTTAATTATTTTCACTTATATTGGATACTTACAACTTATACAAACTCAAAACACCCAAGTCTGAACACCCAAACCGATTGAATAAAATTACCCAAAAATAATTGTAGGTATCGATACTCATGTGAGTATCGATACCAAAATCAAATTCGATATTTTGAAAAATACTTGGGTATCGATACTCCTATATCGATACTCTACCCTGGGTATCGGTACTCACCTAAGTATCGATACCAAATTTGGCTTTGATGTTTTCAAAATAACTTTGGTAACTATACTGACCCTCTGAGTATCGAGACTAGGCCCTGAGTATCGATACTCCTATAGGAAGTATCGATACATCCCTTGCAAAATTGCCTGCTTTAGGCCTTACACGAAGAATAATATCAGTATTGTTCTTCCAGTACCGATATCGATGAACTAGAATGATCTGTTTTGTGCACGAAAACATACTCAAATCTTACCCATGCATTCCCGTAAGACTAACAAAGCTTATTAATGTCTTATTTGAGGTCTTAGAGGTAAAAAAGAACTATATTATATATATATAACACACAAATACGAATCTTGCCATGAAATCACTCAAACATACTTGCATGAACAAAACATATCATATATGCACATTTAATGAACTACATGTGGTATGGACAAGTTAGAATCGTGTTACCTTGAAGCTAGGTGACTGAAAACGTTCTCAAATCACTCTAGGACCAACTTCTCCTCGCCTCTAGACTTTGAGCTCTCCCCTTGCTCTTGTACTAATCAAACCATGGAAAATGATTTATTGACTCATGGGAATACTTGGAATGAGGTTATAAATGTTCCTAAAACTTAAAACTCTCCAAAAAATGGATTGAACCATAAGTTTCCATAAAACACTCTAAAACCCACCTTTGAACTCAAATCACCCCAGGGCCAACTTCTCATTGCCTCTAGCCTTTGAGCTCTCCCCTTGCTTTTGCACTAACCAAACCATGGAAAATGAGTTTTTAACTAATAGAAATACTTGGAATGAGGTTAGAAACATTCCTACAACTTAAAAGTCTCCCAAAAATGAATTGAACCATACGGTTCCATAAACCCCTCTAAAACCCACCTTTGGAAAAACTAAGCCAAACCATGCAAATGGGGCTTAAATGAAAGCTTAAGAGGTAAGGATTGTAGTTCTTACCTTAGAATTCTCAAAATAGGCCTAGGATTCTTAATGCTTGAACCTTTGTTTGATTCCTTGGAGATGAAAGAATATGAAAGGGTGAGGAAGAAGAGACAAACAAATGGGTGAAAAAGATGTGAAAATGTGCCAGACGTGAGATCATTTTTCATAAATGGTTATCAGCTCTTATTCAAATAGATTGGTTAATTACCCACCTAGTCCCTCCTTATTTGATCCATATTTAAACACACCCATTTTAAGGCTTATAGGGCTCAACTATGTCCCAAGTCATAACTATTTGGGGCTAAAACTTAACATACTAAGAGAAATTTATCCTAAACCCCAATCAAATAAACCTAAAACTCTTAACTCATATTTTGAGGCGTTACACCGTATGAGCTTGGGGTGGTCTGTAAGGATAAAGCTTAGTATGTGAAGGGCAAAAAATGGCTAAAAGGGTCTAGAGACACTCGTAAGAGTAAATTACAACCAGTGTAACCGTATCAGGCGTAATGCGTCCAATTAACTTCAGTATGCACGTAATCGATATTCATGGATAAAGGATCAGTGTATAGGGTGTACCACCTAGTGGTTTGACCAAGAAATCAATTTATGAGATAACAGTGTCGAAATGACCGAAAATGTTACAAGCACAATTATGTCTTTAATTCGAGGATAAATTGAGGGAAATCATATTAATAGCAAATGGAGTATCACTACCCAGAATTGAACCTGATTCAGATATTAGGCCAACCAGAACCTCATCCAGTAGCCAGTAAACTCGGTAATCGTATTGAAGTTTCGAAACGCATATAGACTTTCCTAGAGTCAGAAAATGAATAAAGTTCCCTTAAGTGCCGAATAGCCAGATCAGTACAGATTATCAGTAATAACATATAACTAACCCTCGCATAGTGTGCTAGATGAGATAACGAGCAAGATAGTAGCCATCATAAAGTAAACGATATTAGTAATAACAGATTTATCAGTAATAACTTAGAACAACTAGAAAATAGAAAGTGTAACAGTAACAACTAGGATGTCATAAAAATAGCCTTTGTGTGACACTCGGGAAAAACCAGGACACCCGAGTTACTTTAGTAGTAGGATGATTTTCTTGTTTGTCAGTATGTCCAGTATATACCAGTCAGTGCTAAGGCACTTCTTTTACCAGTTGGGAGCAAATACCCCAAGACTGGACGGAGTAAGTTGTCGGGTGCATATTTTCGTTGTAGATTTTGAATTTTATTCTAGTTACCCAATGGTATACCGACAAGCTAGAGAAGTACGTGAGCTCCGAGATGCAGATCCCGTAGTTGCACCATGATACTTGTCACCGCTTTATGTTTGTGGTTGTATATCATACATTAGTATTTGGTAGGATAGAGGGGTGTGTGAGCCCCAAGATATAGATCCCTCAACCATACCATGATGCCTACATTAGCTAGTGTATGATTCACAATAGAGTTAGTATTGCATTCAAATAATGCACAGTATAATTAATATTGCATTCAGATAAAGCACAAT